GTTAGAGATGTTTCTTCTGACATCTCTAAACCAATAATGGTGGATGTCAGGGAAGGTACTGAATAGTGGATAGATCGCTCTAGGGATCCAGATCCAAGTTTAATGTTCTTCCTCTATAGCATCCATTTCTGCTACTGTCAGAGATGGAATACTGAGCTAGATAGACCACTGGTCTGACCCAGTATGGCACTTCTTGTGTTATATAGTGCTCAGGTATAACGTGGAGAAACATGCTACTGACTGACTCAGGAAGGGAGTCTAATCCATGGACAGTAGTGCTCAGAATGCATTAGTTCAGCACCATGTTTACAAAAGTAAGTTTTAAAAGAGGATTACTGGAAAAATAAACAGATCCTTGAGAAAGGGGCAAAAAAGGTTCTTTATAAAGTATTGCCAAGACCTTGTTTAAAATACAAAGTGACAGCCCAAACAACTCCAAATGATAACCTTATTTGGACCAATGTAAAGGATCATTCAGCTGTGTGTAGCATTTGTCTTTATGGGGAAATGTACCACTATTACTATACTGATATAATTCCTCATGCATATACTTTTATCTAAAAAAAAGATTCATGTTTTGAATAAAGCAGTCAACCTGAGATAACTGTACCAATATAAGTATAGCTCTATAATTACACTGGTGCAGTAAAGCCAGCAAATGTCACTGAGTAGATCACTCCATAGTAACATCATAACTTTCAGGGAATGAGAAATCTGCCAGTTATATGCATGATGGCTGCTGGTAAAAGCAGAAGAGCTTTTTCTTATCTTCTGCAAATTTAGCTGAAGCTGTGTTTTTTTTGGAAAGTAAATTAAGACTAAAATTTGTGGAAATTCTTGTTTTGGTGCCTCCTTTTCAAGAAAAATACAGAATACCTGAGAGTTGCCAGTATTATAGAAATAATTTAGCTGAATTCAGTTCGAAGGGCTTAATTGTGTGACTACTGGATATTTATATTTTGCCTCTCATTTTTAAGGCACAGCATGCTTTCAGTACTTCAGAAATTATATGGAGGGTGGAGTGTGTCAGCAGTTTAGTAGCATGAAGTAATGTTATGCAATTGGAACAGGGAATTACAGATAAATATAGGGATTGGTTGAGCATTGAAAACGCTGTATATGAATGACAAGAAAAATACTCTAAGACCTTATCCTGCAGTCCTTTTGCAACCACTGGAAGATTTTATCCTGATTAAAGGAGTAAGGAGAGAAAAAAAATATACTTATCTTTTACCATAAGAGAGAGAATGCCTTTCTCTCTGACACAAAAATAGCACAGTACAGGAACGTCAAACTCATTTGGTCCCATAGGCTATGTGGATACTCCCCCACGTTCTGGACCCCCACTGTGCCCACTCCAGGACCCATGCAGTACAGTGCCCATTCTGGCTGGTCTGGGATCTGTGCTGCATGTGGAGCCTGCTTGTCAGTCCAGAACTGATGCTTTAAGTGGTGTTTGCTCTGGGGTGGGCACTGCCTGCAGCATGAGATCCCTGAGCAGTTGGAGCAGGGGCCATGTGGCACAGACCCCAGACTGGTTGGAAAAGACACTGTGTGCAGTGCAGGTCCTGGAGTGGCTGAGGCGTGTGCTGCAGGTCCTGTGTGCAGCTTGTGAGTCTACTCTGAAAACCAGGGGCAGCACTGGGGACTGGATGAAAAGACTGTGGACCAAATCTGGTCTGCAGGCTGTCTGCATCTTTGACACCCCTGGTATAGCACATCATCAGTTTGGCCCAAATACTAACCTTTTGCCTAGTGCATAGGATGTTGTTTAAGACTGTAATTGCAAACTTTGGCTCTTTCTTAAAAGAACTAACTTTTCTAGTGGGCTAGATATGTAAAATTGGCGTTCAAAGATTAGTAGTTTACTTTTGAATGGGAAATTAGTGAATGAATTTAATTACCATTTGACAGTATTTGGTAGGCTTCAGTTCACATCTTTCTGGGCACAACACCCAAGCCAAAATATTAACTACTTGTGTACACCTACTACACTTTAAACTTTAGAAATAGTCCTCTAGGCCCAAACTGTGGGAGAGTCTGTCACCACATCAGGAGGTTACATGTGATTTCAGTATTCTATGCACTTCCATTATTGTTATGCTGGCTTTTGAAAGTACCTAAAGCACATTTTAAAAAGAAATCCTAAACTTGTCTGGCCTTTGCTACAAAATATTAACTAAATAATCTGTTTTACTGTGCCACTTACCAGCATTCGCGCTATTTCCATCTGCTACTGAAAAATAACATTTGTTTAAAAAAAGAGTAGTATGCTTGCAGATGGTCTTCTGAACGAGTCTTCTTATGGCCACAGGTTAACATTCCTGCAGCTTTATTCTCCTCTCTCCTGGAGACTGTGCAAGGAGACAAACAAAAGGTTTGCTTCAGTACAAACCAATAACATTTTTTTTTTTTCAGATTTGTCAAATGACATGATTTTGGGCAGGGAAGAATTCTGTGGCCTGCCCTCCATTAGTTGCTGCCCTGAACAGCATTGGGTTAATTTTTTTTGCCAAGTGCTCTCAAGTTGCATTATGAAGGATTAGTTTTGCCTTTTTCTTTTAAAGAACAAGCGTGCCTACAAGCCTCTCAAATTCCTTCTTCATAATTTTCAAATTACTAATGTTTTTATTTTTCTGGTTAAAGAAATTCTGCAAGTCTCTCTGCTATTTCCATATTAATTAAATAGATTTTCTGGAATTTTGGAACTTAGGGAACTTTTTTCAGCTTTAGAATTTAATTTTTTTTCTATTTAAAATGGAATTCAAACTTGTGGTAATACAATTGTATTTGGGTTTTCTGTTTTACTGAATATAAGACTAACCTGACTTTTGGAAATAGCATTTCTTCTGTTTCCTTGAAAATAATAGATCAGGTCTGGGGAACTGAGTAGATGAAGGGAGCTGATTAAATCTGTAAGTCTGATATACTAAAAACATTCCCTCTTATTTGCAGGTTGTCACAGTTGGACATTGATGGTCATCTTGCTAAATGCTTGTCTGAAAGTGCAGACGACGTGATTTGGTAAAATCACAAGAATGAAGAACAAAGTCAAATGCTAACATCCGGATTTCTCTAGAAGAAAAAAAGTAAAGTATATCAAGAAAAGGGTGTCAGTTACCATGCTTATTAAACCTGCAAAAAAACAAAAAAACAAAAAAAGAAAAAAGCTACAGAAAGACAGGTCAGAAATGCCCCCGCCTACTGTTTTCCTTTGAACCCTTCTTAGAAGTGTACATGCAGTAGCCCCAGTCCTCAAACAGAACTCTGTAGGCAGACTCCTGAATCCAGGTGGAACCCCACAGAAAGCCATCTGTGTAGTTCTCTTTGCAGTATTTGGGCCTGTATGTACAAGAAAGCATTACTGAGGATCCCTGAAGAATAATACCAGTTCTGATTTGCCTGTATTTGATTTTTTTATGGTTTAGAGAGGTGTAGAAGAAAGAGATGCAAGGTAAAAAAAAAAAAAAAAAGAGTGCTAAATTCAGAGACCTGATGTCAATGACTTCACTAGGTTTTAGATCAGATTCTAAATAGTCAACTCTTTGGGAAAGAAAATGTCTGTCTGCTACTTAAAATTTTTGCAGTTCCTAATGGGCAGTTAGGTTTTCACATTTCTTTTGATACTCTTTGTGAAAAAAATAAAATAAAAATTTAGTTGGAATTTTACACTTTTTCTGCCTTCTTTCTGAGTATACATGGTGCATAAGATACAGCCCAACTTGGGAACAGCAGCTGCTTACAGGTGTAAAAAACCCAAAAAACAAAAACAGCACTTTACGTTAACTCAGTGTGCCCCTGCGCCAAGCCCAGCACGTGCCCAGGAGAGGCATCATATTAGTTTGACCCAGCTTGCCCAATATCTGTATAGATCAGGTGCTTCAGTGGGGCTTTTTTGGCACTTTTACCTAATAGCTGATTGAATCAGCTATTAGATAAAAGCCCCACTGAAGTGCAAGATCTATAGATGCTGTGGAAAGCTGGGTTGAGCGAACGCACTACCTCTTCTGGTAAAGTGCCGTTTGTTTTTTTTCCATGTCTGTCAGCAGCCAGAAATAGCACCCTTCATTGAAACAACAGTCCTGGATTTGTATCTCTGCTCCCTGAGTTCTCCCCCTAAGGCAAGGTCTACTCCATTAAAGTGTCTAGTTTAAAAGTAATTGTGGTACACAGCACAGCACATCAGTGAGGCCAGAGAAATGCACAGCTAGATGTTTTCTCTTATAGCTTAACTATGTTTAATGTAGTTACACACAGCCAGAACAAGACTCTACCCCCACACAAGTGGAAAAACTGCTTACACTTGTCCTTGTATGAAAAAATACACCAGGACTATTGCTTGGTTCAGCAAAATTACTGGTAGTTTTTATGTTCTCCTTTCGTTTTTAAGATCAGATTTTCTGCTTAAAAAGGAAACCATACTAGTCATCAAGTTCCAACTGTTTACCAAGATAGCAGCAGTTAAATGTGTCGTAAATTAAAAAAAAATCTCATTACTGGCTGCAACACATTAAATTCACTGATACCTTATTAACAGTTTGGAAGGAGGGAGAATATACAGTAGATTCATTTTCCCAGGGGAAAGATGCCCATTCACTAGGGAGAGTAACTCATTCATGCATTGCGCACTATCTTGATTCACATCCTCAGAGTTTGAACTCATTTCTTCTCACAAGAGGGCTATAAACAAAACTGAATAGCCTGTGCATTTTCTTTGTTATTTTGACCTCACTCGCCTTCTCATACTGTACTTTAAAGTATGCTTTGGAAAGAGTGCCTCTCAAACAATGAGCTAAACAGCAATTTTCTGTCACAAGAAAACTGCACACAAGAATTCAGCAATGAAATATTCAGATGTAGCTAAAAATACAAAAAACAGGCATACAGTATCATAATAGTGCAAGAAACCCACCAAAAATTTTCATTTACAGTGAGGCTCTTTTTCAAAAAAGTAATTATGTTGGTCATGTCTCAACTTACTGAGAAATAATAACAGTCTATTAGCTTTTTCATTAAAGTCTTTAATAGATGTGCAAGAATATAAATGATCTCAGCTGTTATGGATTAGTATACCATCTTCTGCACAATTAAAACTGGCCAGCAAAGATCTCAACTAATTATACAAAACTACAAGAACATATTTACTGTTTTACAATCATTAAATTAGCTAGAGTTTTCATTTACTATTTCAAATAAGACAACTATATATCATTACCAGATCCATTTGTAATATATTAGGATTTTTTTTCAAACCACACATTTAATTACATCCTTCATTTTCTTTAATTTATAAAACAAGTACTTTATATAAAAAATTTCCCCCTTTGTCATGAACAAAACATTATTCATACACTTGCACATGAGCAACCAAACTTGTAACCAGCAAACTATTTGGCAACACAGCAACATTGTAAATGCCTTAAATTTTACGTGAATCAAGGATTTTTTCATGTTTGTTGAGCAGATGTGTTTCCCCTGCCCTCCCCCACGTCACAGAAATAAGAGGTAGAAAACCTCCACGTTTCCATTTCGAAGTCCTTTGCCCAGCCCCATCCAAGGCAGCTCAATTTGTCGCATTTCCATCCACAAGCTGCCTATAGTCAATTTGATCCAACTAATGATCAGTTGTAAAATCAAGGGAATTAATTAAATACTGAAAGACATTAAATATTCAGGGTACATTAAATAATTGCCAAGGAAGGGAAAAAAGTTGGGAATTAAAATTGAACGTTACATTTAAAAAATAAACAGTTCTTTTCCTAGATAACAAGTTATCTAAATCCCAGGCATTTGAGGCAAATACTTTTTACTGGCTAAATTATTTAGTGCTGGTTAGAGAACACATCTTGCTTAATATAAAAAGCTACAGTCCAACAGAGAGAAACCCAAAACTCAAATCTGGATGGGATTAATGAAACTAAGTTACCACAGGTTTGCATAATTGTGGCCAATGAGGGGATACAAAATGTAGTTTGTTAATCCATGGTTAATTGAAAATTTTAAACACAATATTTTGGCAGTCTCATCCTAGCACCTCATGACTTGGATGTGAATCCGAAAGATGTCATGTTCAGCACCTAATGCAATGCTGTACCCTGAGAAACCTATATGTTAATAAAGAAAGTGAAAATGTTGCAATTTAGTCTGCATTTTACACCAAATTAGGTGAGATGTCATGGCACAGGGTTTCTTGGTTTTTTTCCTTCCCATATCAATTTCCCCTCCCCAGAACTACAAGCCACACAATGTAGTTAAACAAAAACCTAATAAAAAAAGAAATACTGCCTCGGTTGTTTTCTGCAGAGGCAGGTAAATCTTTACAAGCATCTGAAAGGTTTTAGACAGCAATGCACACTTATGAGTCCCCAAATGAACTGACATGAGTTTTTCCACAGCTGACAATATTAGCCTTTGTGACGTAACATCCCCTGTCACCAGTTTTCAAGAGAGGGGATTTGACAATTTAAACCATACCCAACTTCTTGGGTATTTATTTTTCCCTCTATTGAAAAGATTACTGTTTTGATGCAAACCATTTTTATCAAAGCATCCCATTCTTCTATGCAGAACAATTAATTAGTAATATACACTGAATATTTTAAGCAGACAGTTTATTATAAGTAGGAGGTGTGCTTTATCAGGAAATGTATTATGTTTATAGATATTCTAAATTTACTATTTAAACTTTAAGGCTATAATCCATTACACTTTCATTGATTTATTTCTGAATACTGTATTGATAAAAATATTTTTCAAAAATCTAGTACATAACACAAAACATCATTGTAGGTGTAGGCACTGCTTAAGTATTTTCAGAAATCCTGTGTGTGCAAATTTGGGTTTTAAAATCCAAGTAAGATTTTGATAAATGTTTTAAACAAGCCAGATTTTGTAATAGATATAGTGAATTTTAATTTGGAAATGGTATTGCTGGGTTTCTTTGTACTTCAGGTTCTATAAAGATACAAATCAGTATTAGGTTTCATCTGTCACTAGAATTTTTCTTATGTAAATGCTTATTTAACATTAACAAGCAGAACTTACCAGGGTTAAGAATGTCCCAAATTTGTAATAATTCTTCAATGCAGTTTATCCATTTTAGGCACTTAAATCCTGTACCCAAATTTATGTTTTGATTGCTAATAAAACACAACTCCTTTTATATATCATATCTGAGATGTTTAGACAGGTACCACTGGTGAAAAAAGGCATCAAAAATAAGCTTCAACACCACTGTAATATATTTTATTCTTCAGGATGTTACACTCTAATATTCTTCCATTGGTAGCTCATTGCATCAAATGTTCATAGAAAGTGTGCAGACTTCAAAGCTGTTTAGAATCTCTTTTTCCCAAGGATGCAATGAACATTTTGATCCTTCGTGAAGCAGGCACAAAATGCAAATACCGTCGTTAATGAAGCCAGTTGTTTCAGTGCCTAAAACTTTTAAAAACCAACATGTAGAGGAAGACACCCATCAAAATCATTTTCTCTTCTTTGATTTTCAGCAGCAATATTTTTTATCATTGGTCTCCATCCAAAACCTTACAGTTCCCCAGCCTTGCATGCATATACTGTAGTTAAGGATAAATGTAAAGGTCATTCACATTTGTCCACAATGAAGATGTCAGTCCTTCATACTGTTTCCTCTGTTGACAGCAACAATGGATTAATGTATTCAAATCCTTCAAATTCTGATTGGTCTATTCTTTTTATTACATCTCTGAAAAATAAAGAGAATTTTTTTTTAGTCTCACCACCTGGATCTTTCCCTTTGTGTTGCTGCACCTTTTGTTTAATAAATACCTTTGTTTATGGCTCTTCAGCATGTGCAAGTACGGTATAAATGCTAATATTAGTAGTACGGAAGTAGTAATAAGGATAAAATTAGACTAAGTAAACAGCAACTTTTAATACATAAATATTTTTAACAAAACTTTAACTCCCAAATTACTGGAGACAGTGAGATGATGTAAGAGAGGGTATTTTACCTGCCCATCCATGTAGTTCTGTAATGACTCAGGGGCATCAAAGGGGATTAACAACCAGAAGGCTGGAATTTTGGAGAACTGGGATAGTAATAAATAAGCTTGTACGCAGAGAAGAAAATCAAGAGGCCTGGAGGCTGGTATCACTAGCACCGGTTAGTAGCAGGGTGTGAAATAAAATGAGGAAATACAGGCTACAAAAGAGTTCCATAAAACTAAAAGGGAAAAAAAAGGGGATGCAAAGGGGAGCCATGGAAAGATTTAGCAAATGATGCAAGGGAAAGGTAAGTTTCTTGCCTTGTCGTGACAGGAGTTCTTCAAGAGATCCATATGCACAGTCCATACTAAGTCTGTATGGGCCTTGTGCACTCAAACTCAGAATTTCTTGGCAAGCAATACCCCTATGATTTGCATGTACCCTGCATGCCCTAATTACTTAATGGTGACATGGTTTGAAGTGACGAGATGGACAAAATAGTCCAAATAAATAAAAATTGTAATAAAATATATCAGTCAAGTATCTATTTTAATTCATAGTAGGGCTATCAATTAATCACTGTTAATGTGTATAGTTAATGCACTAATTGGTTTTTGCGTTAAATTTTTTTTCATGTGTTAATTGTGCACATGGTTTTGGAGCCTGCACCTGGGCTGCCCAGCAGGGCAGTCCAGAGGACCACAGGGCAGCCCAGGCATGGGCTCCAGGCAGCTGCAGCAGGAAAGTGGGAAGGGAGCGCAGACACAGACACACATTAGCAGCCACGGCATGCATGTGGCCAGGAATGCAGCCTGGCAGCATGTAGAACAGTGTCTTGCCAGTAAGTGTGTGGAGGGGGGGAATATTTGTATTTCACCCACAGCCCCCAACCATACAAGGTACCTGCATAATTTTGCATAATTTTGGGTTTTTTTCTGTGCATAATTTTGAGTTTTTAGCTGTGTGATTAAAATAGAAATTCATTGAGACTAATTTTTTTAATTGCACAACTAATCGCGATGATTTTTTTTTAATTGTTTGACAGCCCTAATTCACAGTATTGTTTCTGATCAAGCTGGTAACCAGATACATTCTACACACACCTCCTTTGAATGCTGTTATAGAACAGTTCTAATTTTGCAGGAAACAAGCTAACCTCCAGGTGGAGATCACCTATGGGACTTGTGGGCCCCCAGCTGGGGAACGAGAGAATCCAGCGAGGCCTGACTGACCCTGCCTTTCCATGACAGAAACTCATCTTAGGTAAGGAAGCAGCAAAGGAGAACAGCCAGCAGAAAAACATTAACTGGGATCTGACAGTAAGCTTAGCATGGGTAGAGACTGAGAGGGGTTTGAGAACGAGGCAGACAGCAAACAGAATAAGGACGTACCAGACATCAGCCAGGACCTCCATACAAAATTCTGGGAATAATAAGTGTACTTATTGTGGTCCCATATTCAGGAGGACTGTTCAGCACAGTCTTAACTTTAAGTATGTGAATGTTTCTTAAGCACCCTTTTGAATTAGAAATACTAAAGTTTCAGTTGATACTGTAAAGAGGAATTTAAAAGTGCATTTATCTAAATTAGACTTCCACAAATGACCAGGCTCACAAGCAATATTACAGGCTGCAACTGGTTAGAAAACACATGCAGCATAATATGGACACTTTAATAAGGGAAAACAAACCAAAAAACCCAGTCCTGAAAAGGATGGGTATATAAGCAGGTGCAGTCAAAGCTTGCTCACCTTCCATCTCAGAGCAAAATTCATCTTAGAAAATCCTTCTTTAACTGAGCTAGTTTCAAAGTTCCAAGCCTTTGACTTGAACGATCACCAAAGTCTTTGATAGTTGTTTTATTTCTGTGTTAGTGCTGATTTTAAGTAGTTGAAGTCTTGCTTCTTGTTTTTAGATAGGCCTCTCCTCAACCCCACATGGTACAGAAATTCAGAAGCAATGCTTATAAAATGTCAATATACAAATACACCCTCCGGGCACATCCAGATGAGTGTGCATGTTGGTTTGTGGCATCGCAGACTGCACGTGGTGTGCATGCAGGTGTTTGCTGAACTAATTTAGCAGTGCGGCACATTTTTTTGACACCAGGAGATCTCAGTGTCAAAAAAACCCATCCCAAAAAGGCTGGAGCCATGTTCCAGCTGTTGGCCAGGCTTCATGTGCCCAGATCACCGCCACCGGTGCCCTGTGAGGCCCCCAGGACAGGCTACTGGGGCCAGCCCAGGTGTTGGCCTCAACCTTTCCTACCCTACCTGCGGTAACTTGCTGTGTGCCAGAGCACATGTGGGCATTCTCTGGGGATAAGCAGCAGGAGCTACTTGTCCCCAGGGACACGCACATGCACACTTATCTGGATGCGCCCACTGAGTGCATAACACAGGATCTGTTGTAGCACTTCATCAGGCAGCAGAGGCATTCTGTAATTCAAAAACAGCCACGTAATTGAAAACAGCCATGTAACTTTAGTGCCATACGCGAAAGCAAGCAGCTTTAAAAGATAAGCTGCAAAAGGAAAAAGGATGGGTACATTCAACTTTTCATTGCTTAGCAATTGGATGTTGTACAGAACAAAGGGACCCCTACAGAAAAATACCGGGAGAAAATTTATCCTCACTCCCTATCAAAAATACATTGTGCTGTGCTGGCTAGCAAAGAAAGATGGTAAGTTTCTGCAATTTGTCACAAGTAATAGGATAGCTATATCTTCCCTTCAATGCTTATTATTTATTCAGTGCTAGACATAAGACACTCATATGCTAGACACTTTACAGACAAAAAAACACTAGTTGCCCTAATGAAATTTCTCCGTATTATCTATTTTAGCTTCCAGCTATATTCTTATATTATGTTCAAATTTCTGATTTTGACCTTGAAGGCCCAGACTACAAAACCGTTTACAACGCTTGCCAGTATTTCCAACTCTTCCCTCCTAATTATCATACTTGGAACAGTTTCCTTTTTCTCTTGCATACTATTGTTATTATCTGCCACACAACCTTAAAATCTTCTCTCAGACACCGCTGGTACTTTTTACAAAAATCTTTACCACCTTTTTGCAAGATTCCTCTGACATTTCAAGCTCACGCTGGTACCTGATACATTTATGACTCAACTGTTGTGTCTATATACTTACATATAAGCATCTTGGATACGCTCTTATCCAGGGGTCAGCAACACCCACAACCTTGATTTGGAAGATAGTGGCATGCCAGGGGCAAATGGTGGAAGAGTGATCAGGGGCCCAATACTTGTTGTGGCAGCAAAGAACCAGCCCCTTCCCTGCTCCCTGAGACATCACATGCAGCCTCTGCCTGCAGTGAGCCAGGCTGGGGCTCTGGACCTCAATGCAGCTGCTTGCAGCCTCTCTGCCACCTGCTGTGAGCAGCCTGGACTCGGTGGCAGGCATCAGGGGCCTGCTGAGAGCCAGGGCCGGCTATGGTGTGCCGAGCAATATGGCTTCACATGTCATGCTTTGGCATGTGGGCCATGCTGACCCTGGCTCTTATCTGCACATTGCCAAGCATATGCTAAAAAGTAATCCTTTTGGTTATTTATGAGACTGTAAACATAATCTGTGTATAATTTGGATATGTAAAAGTCACTAGGAGAACCTTAACTTTACATTTTTAAAAATCTGATACTGTCTTTACCAACTTTTGTTCCATTGCAAGACATCTACATTCCCTTTGCAGTAATGCTGCAATAGTTTCATAATTCATATACATTTCTCAATATGTATTTGTTTAATTGTAGTAAAAAAAAAACATACTCATCATCTGGGGTTAGCTGCACAGGTTCGCTGGTGAACTGTGTATCAAAGTTATCCAACCCATAATCGTCTGTGATCTGAGGCTGAAATGGAGGAGTTGTCTGCTTCTTTTCCAGCTGAGAATAATAATGGTGGTGGTGGGGGAGAAAAGTCAAATATTGAACATTTACTTAAGTTTATCAGAAAGACTTACATCTGCTTTATGTACATATATTATAAAACACTATATCCACACTGGATGTATATAATATTGATAAAAGAGGCAAACATACTAAATGTTATTACACATTTAAAGAATTCTGACATTACACAATGCATGTTCATTCTGTTTATAACAACATTATGGTTTTAAGTACATGATTTTCCTCAAGATCAGAAACACTCTAAATCTTACTATTTCCACAACTATCTCAGCATGCCTAATTTAATTAACTACCTCTAAATAAGTTCTGAATCCAACCCAAACTAGTGGAATATTTAATTAAACATATTCAAGACCAAACTTTTTTTAAACTGAACATGTCCTGGAGACCTCCAGTTTGTACTAATGTTCATGACAAAATGCTTCCTCAAGAACACACGTTCACTTTTCCCACCTGCTTCAAAAGGTGACCTCTTTGAAGATGTGAGCAGTGTCTAGATCACGTACATCCTACAGTCAAATCAATTTAACCACCACACTTATTGGCTAATCTAATTCTAGAACAGACCAAAGTGGAAAACTGTCCGCTAACATCTGCATTAGCGCCTAGCTGTGACATAGAAAGATTTACTACTGTAGTAGTTAGTAGTCATTAACAGCAACTGAGGCACAGCACAAAAATGGTAAAAGCAGCCCATGTTTATTATGTAATGAAAACAAAATTATGAAATAGACTTAAATGCAATGAATTTTCTGCTAAAAAAATTAACCCACATTTATCTTCTGCACATGCGTTCACTATGGAATAACCGCAATTCTACAAGAGTGTGATAATTCAATTTTGGGTCAAAATAGGCAGATTTCAATTTGGATTTAAAATTTGAACATAAAAGTTCATATGAAGGTGCTCAAATTCTTAAGAATCACCTTGTTCCATATTCATCAGATGTAAATCTAAGCCTAGGCTCATAACCCCTAGAAAATCTTCTGCCTATCTTTACCAAGCTTTTTAGTTCGAGCTTGGTACTACTGAGCAACTTTGGCATGTTTCTGGGTTTCATTTGCTAGCATTCCACCTGGCTGAGTGCTCCTCTTGTCTAAACAAGCTGCATCAGTAAAGGATCAGAATAAAATAAGATATTTTTCCAGGACACCAAGTGAAAAGTCCTGCTTGAATTAAATCTCTCATTTTGCATTTCCAAGCCTTTGCTTCTTTTGTGTTATTTACAGGAGAAAATAATTATTGAGTAAACAAGGATAATCCTAATATCAATGTACTCAGAAGCTGTGCCAGACAGTAATACTTAGTTCTGTTGTTCAAAGTAATCAAGAACCTACAATTGCATGAACCTGTCTGTGGTTTTAAGGTACATATTTGCTAGCCTCCTAGGGCACCTATACATGTGTCCAACACCTGCTCTGAAGCATGCTAATTATGCATTGGAGCAGACTCAATTAACTGAGTCTGCTGAAGCATGCTAATTAGCATGCCCCAGCAGTCTCAGCGACGCATGGATTCAGCCATCCCCATGCTTCAAAATGGCGGTGGGGTGCTTTAACTAAAGCATGTCAAAAGGGCTGTAGTTAAAGCGCCCCTGCTGACATTTTGAAGCACGGGATGATGAATACATGAGATGCTGCAGGTACTTTAATTAAAGTAGCTGTTGAGAGCCACTCTAATTGAAGTGCCTGCCCCCCATTCCGGAGCATGTGTAAAAATGCCCCTAGATTGCCACAAATTTTGGTAACAAGGGAACTGATGACAGGTGTAATGTGGTCATCTCTTTAAATCAGTACTGCTGGCAGTTCAAACAGATTTAAGACAGGGACACATTTTGGGAGGAGGAACAGATCCAAAATCACTGGGAAATATATGGAGGGGTTCAAGGCTCTGCAAGATAATCCTTGCCTCCAGATAATTAAAATATTCACCTGATTCAGGTGCTTACTGGTTGGTGGAGTAATTTATTAAACTAAGCAACCAATCAATATCTACTCAGTTTGGCCTGTTTGGATGCCTTGCCAGTTGAGTCGCATCTTAACAAAAAATCACAAGTGTTGTCCTCATGCCTCAACCTCGTTACTGAGCTCCATTGTTAACAAGGTTGTAAAGCACATTCTATTACAGTAAAATGACTGAACTTTTTTAAGGACTGGCAAGAAATCACTTTCAGTTGAACTGTTAGTAATATTATAATTGTCTTTTACTTTCATGGTTTTTTCAAGATAATTATACACTGCTTACATTTGTGATCTGAACTCTCCTGATCATGACTTGAAATTTCACATTGCATCCTAATGCAGAAAGTGTCCAGACAGTACCAGGAAAGCTCTCCTCTGCTTCATGAAGAGGATGAGAGAAAAACAAAGAAACCCGAGTGCAACATGTTATTTCTGTGGATGTTTACATGCAAGGGTTGCAAAGCAGCATTAGCTGCCTCTTTCCTACCGCCGTTTACATTACTGAGGACATTTTATCTAGTTCTTGTACTAATCAATCAAGTTATGCAATAACCAAATCATGCTCAGTTTTCCCTTTCTTCCCTCCCACCTCCCACAAATACAAACTGCCAGAAAATGCTTTATTTGAAAAAAAAACAGGCAAAGGAAAATAACATTACTTATCATCACAGGCAGGAATTTAATTAAATAAAAACTCATAGTATGAGTCCAGAGTTATGCTGGCCACAAACAAAAGGGAGCTAGTGTTTAAACCATTTTCAGAGAAGGACAAAAATTCAAAGAATTTTCTTCCAAAAGGGTTATATCGCTTAAGTTATCAGCATGCTTTTGTTAGGTCTCTCCAGCAGAATTTTAATTTTTTTTATACAAAGATGCATGGCTGTACTAACAACCACAGTTCTCAACATGCTCTCTGCCTAATTTGCAATAAAAGTACACAAATCAAGAACCTAACATTATGTAAGCTTTCTCTATTGCTATAATTGCATAGGGCTCCCCTTCTTGAATGTGCATAACATTTTCTATACAGAATTTGCAATATTTTATATTTCTGATGCTATAGGAATTTGAAGAAATTGGTCAACCAATTTGTATATTTGTGAGAGGAAATAAATTGGAAGGCAAGATAAATGGTGGAGCTAATAATAAAGCACATCTCTTAGCTTAGTTACACATTACAATTAGCACCTAACTCTAAGGATTGTTAGTTGATGTTGAAGTTACCATGTGCCATGAGCAGTCCCACATTAAGGGTTAATACCCTCTCTAAGACAGCTCGGACCTGCTGCCAGAGGGCTGGTGAGCAGGGGCGTGGCAAGGAGCTGAGAAGTTAGCTCCATGCCTGCCTTACTTGCTGGCAGTAATATAGGCTCTTTAGCCCTGCACTGCCCCCTATGTGCCCACCACTGTGTACCCAGATGGAGCCTGTGCCACCTCTGCTTGTGCCCTAGATCAGGCCCCGCTGAACCCATGCTGGTCCCACTTGCCCAGATCAGGCCCAGTGGGGCCCCACATGCCCGACTTGGCTTGTGCTGCCTCTGCATGCCTTGATCAAGCCTGTGCTGCCCCTGCTTGACTGAGTCCTACACGCCTGGATTGGCCCACATTGCCTCTGCCTGCTTGGATCGGGTCCCACATGCTTAGGTCAGTCTGTGCTGTCCCTGCAAGCCCTGATAGAGCCCTCACCTGCCTGGATTGGACCCTGCTGCCCCTGCATGCCTGGATCCAGCTACACCACTCCTACCACGCCCTGGGTCAGGCCATGTTGACCTATGCACCCAGAGCAAACCCACACTGCCTCTGCTGGGCCCTGCATCTATCCTCGCTCTCCCCCAACAGCTGCCCAGGGATGGTGTGGCCTGATTTGGGCATGCAGGGGTGGTGGGGCTCCATCTGGGTATGCAAGCCCCAGTGGGGCTGGCACAGGCTTCATTCAGTCATGTGGGAGCCCATCTGCTGTCCCCTTTCACCTCTCCCCATTCACCCGTGGCTGCCCAGCTGTCAGTGTAGGGCATAAGAGTCTGGGAGGATAGCTAGTCCATGTGGGGGAGGGATGGAGATGGGAGCATTGAAGAGGAGTAACTTTGAGAGGCTCAGAGGATACTTAGTTTGTGTTTTCCTGTCTTAACATGTGGACTTAAGAGCATTTAAAACATTTGAATGTTAACATGCAACGATACCCTTACACTCATACCCATGCTGTCTGCATGTAAGCTCATGAATGCAAAAAAAGATGCCTGTGTTTCATGGGTATTCATGGGTAGTGTAGGAACAAAACATTTCAAAGTGTTTTAAGAGGCAAAAGTTTATGGAATCAGTAAATCGGTATAGGCATAGTTACTCAACATGTAATACAACGTGCTAAAAGTTCAAATCTTAAGTAAACTGACTGCTGGGATAAAACTTACAAGCAATGGAACATTGGGCTTTTATAATCCGATCTAGACTTAAAGGCAGCAGAAGAGCATAGGTGCTACCATCACAACAAAAAAATCTGAGTTTACTATCTTCTAAGTGTAAGAGTGTTTAAAATGCTATCTGCAGCAAACTGACAGATGTGGTATTCTGAAAAAATATTTTGACTTCTCTGTTTCATTTTTTGCTTTAATGGATTATTTATTGACTTTTACATCTACTATCTGTTAGAATTTAGATAACAAATAGGATCATGCAGACAAAGATTCCAGTTAAACCAGGATATCATTTGCCTCTGTTCTAACTGCACAAACTGCTTTTACATACTAGCAAAACTGTGGAGAAACAGGTCTTTTGAATTCCCCTGGAACTACACTCTTCTTCCTTATGTGGATGGGTCCACCGTATTTGTACTGCTCACAGAAGCTGTCAGAATGATAGTACTGGAAATGGAAGTACTCTTCATTTAATCAGAGCACAGGAAGTGACAGCAATGTTTTTCCCCCCTCACTATTTCTGCCTATATGCTCCACTTCTGACCTTGAGGGACAACCTTGTAATGACCTTGTAATGACAGGAGGAATCCATTTCTTCTCT